TGTGTATGTGTGTGTGTGTTTGTGGTCAAAATTTTAAAAATAAATGAGTAAATAAAATTTAAAATAATAATAATTCTTAAAAATACATGTGGCAGGCCCCAGCCCAAACTACTGAGACTTTCTAGGTTTTCCCTCAACAAATGGGCGAAAATCCAGAGTTTGAGCACTTGGTGGAGAAGTGGCGTTCTTAGGCACTGTGATGGGACACAAAATAGTTCAGCTCCTGTGGAAGGGAGTTTAGCAGTGTCTAACAAGCCTAGGTATGCTGATACTTTTTCAGTTTGTTCATCAGAGACAGAGAAGCAACACCCTCAAGAGTCTCATGCTGCTGGGACCAGCAGCTGGAGTAATGGCTATGTCGCTGGACTCCCAGGTAGTTGACCACAGTTCGAGTCCTGGACCCAGTGGCTTAAACTCACACCGGGTGCGAGTGTGTGCGTGCCCAAGATCCCGAGAATGGAGGAGAATGGAGGAGAAGGGATTGAGGCATGGCCATGCCCCAGGGGGTGATTTCTCGCATTCTGTCTCTCTGTCTCTCTGTCTTTCTGGCGAGCGCACGTGCCCTATAGCAAAAACCTCTCCAAAAAAAGAAAGAAAGAAAGAAAAGAGTCTCACGCCGCTGTCATCTTCCTCGCAGCCTTCCCAGCCGGCCAGGGTTGGGGCGCACATGCACACATGCACCCCACATGCACAGGTCAGGGACCACACCTGGGCTTCACGCAGCTCCCATTGTGTAGTGGGGTGCCAGCACTGCACCCCAGACCAGGCCACTGTTGTTTTTTTTTTTCTTTGAGAGATTTTTTTGCTATAAGGTATGTGTAGTTGCCAAAGAGAGACAGGAAGAGAAAGTGCGAAACCACACCTGGGGGGATGGCCACATCACAATCCCTTCTCCTCCATTCTCCACTTGGGATTTGTGCACGCACGCACACGGGCCGGGTGTGAGTTTCAAGCCACAATGTCTAGGACTCAAGCTGCGGTCAGCCATATGGGAGTCCGGCACATTAACCACTGTGCCACTTGCTGGCCCCATGGGTTACTGTTTTTTGTCTTGTTTTGTTTTGTTTTAAAGGTTTTTGTTTGTTTGCCGTTTTTGAATTTTGTCACAGGGCATGTGCGCTTGCTGGAGAGAGATAGAGAGAGGGCAAGTGAGAAATCACCCCCCAGGGGGATGGCTCCGCTGGAATCCCTTCTCCTCAGGATTTTGGGCACGTACACATGTACCTGGCGTGATTTTCAAGCCACCAGGCCTGAGACTTGAACCATGGTCAGTCATGTGGGAGTTCAACACCTTAACCACCATACCATTTGCTGGCCACTTTTTTTTTTTTGAGACCATAGGGCGTGTGCACTCACCAGACAGAGAGAGACAGAGAGACAGAAAGCGAGAAATCACCCCCCGGGGGGATGGCCACACCTTCTCCTCCATTCTCCTCTCAGGATCTTGGGCACGCACGCACATGCGCCTGGCATGAATTTAAGCCACCGGGTCCAGGACTCGAACCACGGTCAACTACATGGGAGTAGAGCAACATGGCCATTATGCCAACTGCTGGTCCCGTGGACAGCTGTTTTTGTAACCATGGCCTGCTTAGTTGAATGAACTCCATCTTGTTAAAATCACAGATGTTTTCCTGTCCGTCTGACACTCTTAGTTTGAGGTTTCTCACAGGAACTCCAAGGAGACGAACAGCCAACCCAGACCTGAAACAATGCGGAACGTTCTGCCCCAGCAATAAGCCGATACTCCTGTCTTTGAAGATGGATCGTTTGCTTGTACCCTTTAGCTGAGACCGAAACTCCTGTCCTGAAGACAAATTACTTAATTGTGCCCCCAGCTAAAATTTAACCTGATCTACGCTTTTCTATGGATGACTGTAAGCCACACGGCACCCCTACCTTATAAA